CTCTCCTCATAGGTCATGTGCTCCAGCCCCCTAATCATTTTGGTTGCCCTCCACTGGACCCTCACCAAGGCGCCCACATCCTTTCTATAGTCAGGGGGCCCAGAACTGGACACAATACTCCAGATGTGGCCTCCCCAGAGCCGAATAAAGGGGAATAATCACTGCTCTGGATCTGCTGGCAATGCTCCTCCTAACGCACCCTAATATGCCATTCACCTTCTTCGCTACAAGGGCCCACTACTGACTCATATCCAGCTTCTCATCCACTGGAATCCCCAGGTCCTTTTCTGCAGAGCTGCTACTTAGCCGGTCGGTCCCCAGCCTGTAACAATGCTTGGGATTCTTCCATCCCAAGTGCAGGACTCTACACTTGTCCTTGTTGAACCTCATCAGATTTCTTTTGGCCCAATCCTCTAATCTGTCCAGCTCACTCTGGACCCTCTTCCTGCCCTCCAGCGTATCTACTTCTCCCCCTAGCTTAGAGTCATCTGCAAACTTGCTGAGGGTGCAATCCATCCCCTCATCCAGGTCATTCATAAAGATGTTGAACAAAACCAGTCCTAGAACCGATCCTTGTGGCACTCAGCTAGAAACCGACCGCCAACCTGACATTGGGACATTGATCATTACTCGTTGGGCCCGACAGTCTAGCCAGCTTTCTATCCATCTTACAGTCCATTTATCCAATCTATACTCTCTTAACCTGCTGGCAAGAATATTGTGGAAGACCGTATCAAAAGCTTTGCTAATGTCAAGGTAGATCCCATCCACTGACTTTCCCATATCCACAGAGCCAGTTACCACATCATAGAAGCTAATCAGATTGGTCAGGCACGACTTGCCCTTCGTGAATCCATGTTGACTATTCCTGATCACTTTCTCCTCTTCCAAGTGCTTCAAAATGGATTCCTTGAGGATCCCCTTCAAGATTTGGTCCTGAATGAAATCTTCAATGCAAGTCTAAAGCAGCTATTCACTTGGTCACGCAAAGTCTATCTATGGGGAGAATCCTGGCTCTGACCAGTAGGCGTCACTGCTTTCCTGAGTAGAGAACAGACCCCAGGCATTCTGATTCCTAGCCCGCTTTGCTTTAATAGACTACACCCCCTCCCAGTTCTAGATTCCACGAGTCCTGATTGCCAGAAACAACCCTGCTCTAACCAGTAGACCACCCTCCCCTTCTATCAGTGAGACAAGAACCCCAGGGCCCTTGCTCCAGTGCCTCCTTAGCTCTAACTAATAGGCCCCACTGGCCAGGAATAAAACCCAGGGGTCCTGATTCCCAGGCTTTTAATCTAACCTCTAGACCCCACAATGTCTTACAATAATTTTTCATCTAACCAATTTTCCTTCGGAAAACACCCTTACGACCACATCCATTTTTTCCGCCAAATTGCGTCGATTGCAACAAGAATTTGGGGGTAGGAAAAATGATTCTGAAAACGTTGAAACGTTGAAACGTTTTCCTGAGCGGCCAATTGTGATTTTGTTTTTCATTTTGAAACGACTTTTCCTTTCCAACGCTACTTTATATTCCATTTTATGCAAAAAAAAACCCCACCCCCTTTTCCTAGGGATCCATGTCGGGCTTGTCACGCCTGGTTGATTCTGGGTTTATTTTTTCCTCTCCATTGTTTGCGACACCCTCTCAGAAGCTGGAAAAAACCCTCATTTCCTTCTCCCGCTGCCTGTGTCCCTTTCCATTTGGAAAACTTGGACTGATTCCCCTCCTCACCTTGGCCCAGCTGCTATTTACTTCCCTACAGCCCAGCTGGGGAAATGATCCCTTACTCCAGCTTTTAACTGGCGCATCCCCGGCTGGCAGAGCACCAGCCAAAAACTCGGCACAGCGTTGCCTAGAGCGCTCTCTGCCAGCATTTCGGTAGCAGGAGGCACTTATACAGTGCACTATGGTAGCAGTTCGTCCTGCATAGACACAGAGCAAGACAGGGCCCCTGTCTGAAAGGACGTCCAATCTAAATAGCAAGACAAAGGAATGGGAGGGGAAACTGAGGCACAGAGCGGGGCAGCGGACATACCAAAGTCACATGGCAGAGCTGGGAATAGAAGCTAGAAGCCTCATAAGAACGGCCAGACTGGGTCGGACCAAAGCTCCAGCTAGTCCAGTATCCCGTCTCCCGACTGTGCCCAATGCCAGGTGCCCCAGAGGGAGTGAACAGAACAGGGAATCATCAAGTGATTCCTCCCCTGTCGCCCATTCCCAGCTTCTGCCAGAGAGGCCAGGGGCACCATTCCTGCCCATCCTGGCTAACAACCACTGGTGGCCCTATCTTCTGTGAATTTATTCTGGCCTTCACAACATCCCCCAGCAAGGAGTTCCACTGGTTGACTGTGTGTTGTGTGAAGAAATAAACCTTTTGTTTGTTTTAAACCAGCTGCCTATTCATTTCATTGGGTGACCCCTAGTTCTTGTGTTATGGGAACAAGTAAATAACTTTTCCTTATTTATTTTCTCCACAGCAGACCTGATTGTATAGCCCTCTCTCATATCCCCCACTTAGTTGTCTCTTATCCAAGCTGAAAAGTCCCAGACTTATTAATCTCTCCTCATATGGCAGCCATTCCAAACCCCTCATCATTCTTGTTGCCTTTTTCAGAACTTTTTCCAGTGTTAAGATTGCTTTTTTGAGATGAGGTGACCATATCTACATACAGTATTCAAGATGTGGGCATACCACGGATTTATAGAGAGGCAATAAGTTATTCTCTGTCTTATTCTCTATCCCAAGAGTTAGAGAATTCCATATCTTATTTTGATTCTATTTCTAAATAGCTTATTTTGAAATTTGGCGCATATACATAGCACCAAATTTCAAAATAACACATTATTTCAAGACATCCCCTAACCCTCATTAAACGAAGGTTACAGGGATGCCGAAATAGCATGCCCGTTATTTCAAACAATATTTTGAAATAACGGGTGGCTTGTTAAGACGCGGGAAAGCTATTTTGGGATACCTCCGGTATCCCGAAACAGCCGTGCAGTGTAGACATACCCTTGGTCTCCATCATTCTTTACGTATAATTTTCCAATGTGCATTACTTTGCTTTTATCAACTTTAAAATTCATCTGCCATTTTGTTGCTCCATCCCCCAGTTTGGGGAGATCCTTTTGAAGCTCTTCACAGTCAGCTTTGGACTGAACTCTCTTGAGCAGTTTTGGATCATCTGCAAATTTTGCCACCTCGCTGTTTACCCCTTTCTCCAGATCGTTTATGAATACGTTGAATAGGATCGGCCCCAGTATGAACCCCTGTGGGACATTGCTAGTATTACCTCTCTCCATCCTGAAAATTGACCATTTATTCCTACCCTTTGTTTCCTAACTTTTAACCAGTTACCTATTCCTGAGAGGACCTTCCCTTTTATCGCATGGGAGCCTCCTTTGCTTAAGAGCCTTTGGTGAGGGACCTCGTCAAAGGCTTTTTGGCCTTGCTCCCATTCAAGCAAATTTTCAGTGACATGAATTTAAAGCCTCTTTACAGTCAGCTGTTTCTCCCGGAAGCTGAGCCCAGGAAGGGCGCAGAGGGGGCATGGCAGGTCATGCAGAAATCAGGGGGGACTTCACCCTCTCTTCCTCCCAAGCATTGCCTGTGCCCTATACTCCCCACATGTTAACACAAGGATGTGCAAGTCCGTGAGCTGATGCATGTGGGGGTTGGCACAGAAATGTGTGAGGGTGAGGGCGCTGGTGCAGGCATGTTCGACAGGGATGGAGGGGAACACGCCGTAAGAGTTATGGGGGGAAACCACGTGGCACGCTTGAGTTTAAACAGCAGTGAGAAGTCAGGGGGCCTGGAAGACAGGAGTAAAGTAAGGGAGCTACCTCACCTTAACTTAACTTATTAACAGATTAATTCCCTGGTGTTGACAAACCCTGAGACAGAGAGAGAGAGAGAGAGAGAGTGCATGTGTGTTACACAAGGGCGACTTTAGGTGAGCAAAAGGCTCGGTGGGAGACCACGTGACATGACATCACAATCTACATTCCATCTTATTTAGAAAACACTGGACATTTCTATTGTCTCAATTTGTTTCCCGGACAGAAAGCTCAAATACTGGACTGTCTGGTTCAAAACCAGGCACCTGGCACCCCTAGGAATCTCCCTCAAAGCCAGGCCTTTCACTAGCCCCGAAACGGTTCCTTCCACGGCACGGCCCCGCCTCTCCACAGCCCACTCACCGCTCTCCGGTGTAGCCCGGGGCACAATGGCAACGCCCGGAGACTGGGTCACATGACCCACTGTTGTGGCCCCCGGTGGGCATGGGATGGAGCAGATAGTGCCCTGCAAAGAAGGGAACAGCAGCATCAGGGACATGCCCTCTCCGGGAGAGCCAGGGGCCAGGGCAGGAGGCCCTATATCTGGGAGACTGATCCGGCGGGATCCACGCCCCGCGATGTGAGGGGATGGGCCCAGACCACATGAAGCTGGGATGCGGCCATGGGCTGGCAGTAAGCACTCTACAGCAAAGGGTCAACGCCCTTTCCTAGCCCTGGGGGTGTCTCACAGTCCAGCGGAGGCTGCGCTGGGTGTGAGGCCCCAGAGACGGCAGTAGGAAGGTGGCAGAGCCGGCCTCAACCCACACGGAGGCACAGAGCCGGTTCAGGGATCGGTCCAGGCTGGAAGGGACCCGTGGGAATGCCAGCCAGGGCATGGATAGTGTATGGATAGCGGGGGAGGGCTCAAATCCAAACAGGGCAGGACCCTCTGCCCCAGCTTGTCCTGGCCGGACCTTTGCTCTGCAGAGGCCAGGAGGGACTGGGCTTGCAACCCCTCCCCACGACTTACCATCCATCCTGGAGGGCAGAGGCAGTGGGTGCTGTTCGGGGGGTGGCAGATGCCCCCTTTCTGGCAGGGGCAGTGAGCCGGGCAAGGGTGCCCATCGGAGCCGCTGTGGCAGGGGAGCTCGCAGCTGGAAGGACAGACAGACGAGTGGGGGAGAGGGACACACACCCAAGCTGCGGAGTCCTTTCTCGGTGCTCAGGAAGGCTCTCATCAGAGGCTAAAGAAATCCCACCCCAGGCCCCAGATCTCACCCCCCACTCCATCACCCCTGGGCTAGCCTGGGCCACCCTCTAAAGGGGAAGGGTCCCAGATCCCATCCCCCTCCATCCCCCCCAGGCCAGCCGCCGCCCCCATCTTGGGGTCAGATCAGAACCAGTGTCCCCTAGAGAGGAACGGCCCCACATCCCCTTCCCACCTGCCTCCCCCGGGCCAGCCAGAGCAGCCCCACTCCCTCCCGAGGCCAGGTGGGACCCAGCCCCCCAGAAGGGAGGGACCCCATGTCCCATCCCCACCCCCTCGCCAGGCCGTCCAACCGTGCGCTCACTGTGCGCCTGTGAATCCCAGCGGGCACAGACATGCCCCCGTCTCGCCATGGCACGTGGTCCCGTTCTCGCAGTGGCAGG